TTAAAAAACATACAATCTGTCCTAATTAATACACTGTCCCTGTTTACCAGCACCGCCAGCGCCATATGTCCATCCTCAGGGGGAGAGACCACATTCATCATGAAGATGCACGACGCCGGCCGATTGTCACGCACTGAAACATTCTGGAGAAGCTGAAAGCCCAGATGTTTGTTCCACAAAGTCCTGATGGGAATGATACCGTATCCATCTGCCCAGTCCAAGCTCCTCTGGCAGCCTCAGGATTCTGTGGAAGCCCAACTTTTTCCACCTGTGTTCAAAATCCCCATGTGCTTTTGGGATTTTAAAGTTAAACTTAAATTTAAAGATTCATATTCAGTTACTGTTGTTTCTTTGTTTCCATAAACTAAGCACAGCTCATCATGGCTTCAGTGCATCATTCAGGTTTTGATTTCTGTGGTCTGTCAGCTACAGCTAAATGTTCTGTACAGAAGACAAAGAGCGTACTGATGTCGTGTCTGATTTACTTCATCTTTACTTCAATCTCTTTATTTGGAAATGAGCCATTTGTCAATATCTGAATGTTTCTGAGTGTTTAACACCTCTGCTGTTTGTCCATCAGCTGTGCTAAGACCCTTTGGAGGAGGTGACTCGACAACCACGTGAACACTGCCAGATATACTTTGTATTCTGGGATGCAACCGAGTACCACAGGAGGAGTACATTATTAAGATCACGCACTGGTCCAAACACAGCAGCTTCCTCCTGTCGGGCTCCTGCCCCGAACACACCTGACTTGTATGAGGACTGAATGTTCTCACATGGTTTGCAGTAACATCTTTTGGTTCACCTGGAGTTTGTTTGGAGCTTTATCTGTGAAAAGAAACCAAACAGGGGGAAAAACTACAAGTTTACTAACTCATCAGCAGATTGTAGCCACAGTAAATTAACTAGAGGTGCAGGAAACGCCCTAAATTACAGCTAGAGAACCGGTTTGACCCCCGGTTCCTTTAGTCTGCATGCTCCAGTGTTCATGGTTGAAAAGTACTTAACAGCACAGAAGAAAGTGCTGCATGGTCTCACTCTTACAACAGAGTAAAGTGGTTAGTGATGCAGAACTATAAAAATATCAGCTGTTCACCAGAATAACTACTGTTAATGTGCTTTATGAAACAAACCTCACACAGGACACATCTGGCCACATTTCAGCCAAAAAACTGAAACACAATTCAAAGTCATGCTTAATCATATCAACTACAATATTCGGAGTTTATTCGTCATGTAAACAGCTATTAATCTAATTGGCGCCGTTAAACCACTGCAATCAGAATCAGAATCAGAAACTTTATTGTCATTGTCACAGGTACAACGAAATTAAGAATGTTCCCTGATCATTGCATCATCCCTAGCAATATCAAAATATAAATAAAACAATAAAATTCAATAAATACAATACATAGAATACTTAAAATACTAATAAGACGTAACAGTAAAACATTCACATACATTCCCACATACATGTCCATTAAATGAGGTTTAATGGACACAAAGAAAGTTCTCCACTCAGCTCATGTTTTTCTTGACTCCTTTTCTCCCTGCTTGGGGTGAAGTCATGTGATTCCTGTCCACGTATTCTCGGTGTCTAATCTTTTTCACTCAGTTTTTCGTTTAAGCCTTACCAGCATCCAAATGGATGAACTACTTCTAATTCACTCCCCATACAGTGAATATGAAGGGGGTAATTAGCTATAGAGACCAAAGGTTTCGCAGCTGAGTGATTTAACGTGTGAGTCTGTGGTGATTCGCTCGTGTTTGGAGTGTCCATTAGAAGAATTGTGG